AGCCTCACGTTCTGAGTGAAGAGGCTGGATGCAGAGCCCCCGAGAGCCCTTTCAGGGATTACAAAGGTGGGAGTCAATGCTGGAGTGAAAGTAGAAACCCCAAGAGCTCCAGATTTCTCCTGCAAACAGTACTAGCGAGGCCACGTGTCCCCACTGTGTCTGAGGGTCTAACCCCATGTAACAGTACAGAGGCTCCTTTCCCCTCAGCGTGGCCACCCCAGTCCTCCCTGCCTCCTCGGGAAATAAGGAGGTCAAGGGCCCTGCCTCCTTCCTGAGGCCTATCAGCCCCATCCATGAAAACAGCAGTGGGGTACCCCTGCCCTGAAACTAATGCAGGGGCTTCTGTAGCAGCCAAAATCCAAAGGGGTGGGGTCCCTTCTCCTGCAGGTCTCCTGGGGACTTTCTTCACGATCATCACCATCAACTTCATCGCCGTCTCCATCAGCACCGTCACCACCACCATCATTTTTACATTCACACAGAGCATTACACACACCTGGGTACCCCGATCTAGACCAAGTGACAGTCTTCTTCCATATTTGCTTCACACTGTTGTTTCCCGAAACAACACATCCCTAGCCTTCCACATTCCCGTTCTCCTCCTTCCCTGGAGGCACCATTGCCCTGACTTTGGAGTGACTCAAACTTTTTTTTGACCACGTCTTTTCCATGTGCGATTAATGATGTGCTTTAAAATTTTCCTAAGTGAGACCGCATTGTTACCAAAAGTTCAGTCTCTGAACTCAGTGCCAATCTAAATAAGGAGAACAGCGTTTTGGGTGAGAAGGAAAGAAAGCTTTATTTTCTTTGCCAGGCAAAGGGAGCAGCAGCCAGCTAGCGCCTTAGGAACTGCTGGCTCCCCATCAAGAAGTAGGTAAGGGGTTTTAAAGCTTGCGAGGAATGAGGCTGCTTGTAGAGAGGGAGCCTGTGGCCTTGCTGGCTGGAGCTTTCCCACCAGCCTGTGTTTGGCCTTGTGAGGCTGCTTGCAGGAAGGAGGATGGTGACGTAAGGGAATCCACAGGCGGGTGTCCTTGGTTGTCTGCCTGCATGGTGGATGCTGGATTCTGGTGCCAGGAAGTCAAGGAGTAAGAAGGGAAAGGGGAGGCGTGCTTTTGGTTTTTACCCCCATATGTGCTGGATTTAATGTAGGGGAACTGATATCAGGGTCAGTATCAATACAGTGCCTATCCTTTGCACTTTTCTCTTTTCTCTCAACCTGAGAGATGAGAACTCATTCACCTCTCTGAAAGGCTCTGTGGAACTCCATGCACATACCCCAGGGAGCCCCTCCACTCCATTTCTAGGGTCAGATGCTGACCAGACAGAGTCAGGCAGGGCTCTGGGCTGGACACAGAGAGGCCAAAGAGGTCTGGACTCCAGCTGCCTTGGTGTGAATCTGGGTATCTTCCTTGTCAGCTGTGTGGCCTTAGGGGAGCTACCACACCTCTCTGTGTGTCAGTTTTCTCATTGGTAAAATGTAAAAAAGGTCAGGATAGGGCAGTCTTAGTCCTCAGTTGTCTTCTCCACCTAAGACAGAAAGTTCTAGAGAATCCTGAGAAATGTAAAGAGATTTCTGTCTGCAGAGTGGGGCAGGGTCCCTTTTCTCTGAAGCAAGCTGCCTCTACCCATGTTGCCCCCAACAAAGGAACCGTCTCTGTGGCAGACAGTTTACAGAGACACTTGGTCCTTTCTGCAGGGTTTCCACCAAGTGCCCAAGGTCCAGACACCACAGGCCACCCTGGAAACGGAGGCTCCTCCAACACGCAGATGCCCCCCACACCCTGGGGAGAAGGGCTCAGACTGGTGTAGGCCCCTCTGGGACGGGGGGAGCCGCAGGCCTAGTTGTAGTCCATAACATGGACACATTTCCTGGTAGTGTCAGTTGACATGTTCCCTGGCCTCTCCCAGGGCTGAGAATGATGTCAGCACATCACAGTAGATGTTTCTGGAACAGGCTTGTACCGCAGAAGGCAGAATGCCACACACCCTGTATTCACCTCTCCTCCCTTTGGGCCCCTGCCTTCTCTGTTTTGCACTCTGTCCACCTCTTGCATAGACCACTCCCCCCAGACCCACGCCAGGTCTGCACATATGGGGCCAGGGCAGCGTCACCTGACAAGATACAGGATTTTCAGTTAAATTCAGGTTTCTGATCAACAATTTTTTTTTTTTAGACTGGCAGCTGAGCTAACAACTGTTGCCAGTCTTTTTTTTATTTTTTTTGCTTTTTTCTCCCCAAATCCCCCCAGTACACAGTTGTATATTTTAGTTGTGGGTCCTTCTAGTTGTGACATGTGGGACACTGCCTCAGCATGGCCTGACGAGCGCTGCCATATCCGTGCCTAGAATCTGAACCAGTGAAACTAAACGCTGGGCCGCCACAGGGGAGCGCGCGAACTTAACCACTCAGCCACCAGCCCCAACAATTTTTAACACTACTTGGAACACCTGCCAGGGGCATCCCTCCACTCGAACCTGCCCAGGCTGTGAATATAAATGAGCGTAACTGTTTGTGATGCAGCTTTGAAGAGAAAAGAAAACCACCGTGTAGCTGTATGCAGCGCAAAGGCCAGCATTTGCATTAACAGCCAGAATTGACAGTAGCTGTTTTAAGCAAACAAGTGGACTAATTCACATTGAAGTGGTGTCTGGAGGTGGGGGTTCTTCACGATCCTCTGGCAAGTGAGCGAACGGTTATCCCTACCTTCGGACAACGTGCTACAACTTTCACATTTGACTTTTAAAAGTTAAGCCGAGAGGGGGCTGGCCCCGTGGCCGAGTGGTTAAGTTCGTGCGCTCCGCTGCAGGTGGCCCAGTGTTTCGTTAGTTCGAATCCTGGGCACGGACATGGCACTGCTCATCAGACCACGCTGAGGCAGCGTCCCACATGCCACAACTAGAAGGACCCACAACGAAATATACAACTATGTACCAGGGGGCTTTGGGGAGAAAAAGGAGAAAAATAAAATCTAAAAAAAAAAATTAAGCCGAGAGGCCAGCCCGGTGGCGTAGTGGTTGGGTTTGTGCGCTCTGCTTAAGTAGCCCGGGGTTCGTGGGTTTGGATCCCGGGTGCACACCTACACACCGCTCATCAAGCCACGCTGTGGCAGCATCCCATACACAACATAGAGGAAGACTGGCACAGATGTTAGCGACAATCTTCCTTAAGTAAAAAGAAGAAGATTGGCAAGATATTAGCTCAGGGTCAATCTTCCTCACACACACACAAAAATTAAAAAATTGGTTTGTCCCACAACTAGAAGGACGTGCAACTAAAATATACAACTGTGTACGGGGGGGTTTGGGGAGATACAGCAGAAAAAAAAATTGGTTTGAAATTCACGTAACATAAAATTAACCATGTAAGTGAACAATTCAGTGGGATGTAGTGCATTCACAACATTGTGCAGCCATCACCTCTGTCTAGTTGCAGACATTTTCATTACCTCAGAGGAGACCCTGCACCCATTATGCAATACTTCCACGCCCCCTTTTCCTCAGGGCCTGGCAGCCACTCATCTACTACTTTCTCTGTGGATTTCCCTATTCCAGACATTTCATGTAAATGGAATCATACAATATGGGGTCTTTTGTGTCTGGCTTCTTTCATTTAGCATCCACTTGCATAAACCTTTTTGAGGTTCATCCATGTCGTAGCATCTATCAGAACTTCATTCCTGTTTACAAATAACGTCTCATTGTAGGGACGTGCCGCATTTCATTTATCTGTCCACCTGTTGGACATTTGGCTGGTTTCCACTTTCTGGTGATTGTGAAAAGCGCTGCTGTGAGCATGTACATACATGTTTTTACTTCATTTGGGTAGATACCTAGGAGTGGAATTGCTGGGTCAGATGGTAATCACATGTTAATCTTTTGAGGATACATTTGATCTTACTTCATTTTCACCATAACCTTGTGAGTTGGTGTTTTTCCCCAATTTCAGATGAGAAGAGCTGAGGAACCAGCTATAGCCTCATGACTCAGGGCTTGGGCTGCTTGCTCCTGACCTGTGCATCCTGGAGCCCTGCAAAGCAGCTGGGCCATCAAAAAAAAAAAAAGTCTGCCCAAAGCAAGGGTTTGCTGGAATAATGAATAAATGCACCGTTTAACCCGGAGGGACGAAGAGAGGAGGGGATGAAGGCAAGACCCCTCCAGGTGCGTTAGGGAGAAGAGCCAGATGCACGTCCAAATACACACTCCAAGTCACCAAATGCTCACAGAATTATGGAGACGTGTTGAAATGTTTCGAACGGCCACCACATTAATGCCTTTTCTCCGTTTAATTAGCATCGGAAAACTTCATGACTTAACGCCTGGAGACTCACTTCTTTTTCTTTTTTTTTTTTTTAAGATTTTATTTTTTTCCTTTTTCTCCCCAAAGCCCCCTGGTACACAGTTGAATATTTTCAGTTGTGGGTCCTTCCAGTTGTGGCATGTGGGACGCTGCCTCAGCGTGGTCTGATGAGCAGTGCCATGTCTGCACCCAGGACTCCAACCGATCAAACACTGGGCCTCCTGCAGCGGAATGTGAGAACTTAACCACTCGGCCACGGGGCCGGCCCCTGAAGACTCACTTCTGAAAGATACGTGAGAGGAAGACTGCCCTCAAAATTTGATGAAAGGACCTTACTGCTGCTGTTGATACCTAACACAGCAGTAAAACTCCCCAGAGGAACTGTTAGACCTGGACCCTCCAGTGAAATGGACACAGCACATCCATGAATCACTGGAAGGCTGTGCCAGCCAGAATCCACCAACAGACTTTGGAAACCTTGAAATGGGTCATTCACAAGAAGCAGCTGCCAATTAAGAGCTTCTTCCCTGCCCACCACACCCTGATGACCAGAGGTCCAGAGCCCTTCTTCAGTGAGTGTGCCTCTCCCTCTGTCTCACGAATATTATTAGCATCCTTTACACATGGTTCTGTCCATAAATTTTTCAATGTCAGGGGCACAAGCTTATATTGACCAAGATCTGTTTGACGACACACTCTCATCATTATTCAAAACATGGCCCGTCTTTATTTAAAGCATGTGAACGTATTTTACAAATTGAAATGAATACCTGTGAAACAAACTCCCAGCCAAAAAACTGACCAGAACCGTCACTGTCCTGTGCTACTCCCACCTTCTTTCCCCTGCTCACAAGGGATTGAAATCTGTCAGGTGGCTAAACCTGCACACTGAGATGACAAGGCCAATCAACTAGGACGAGCTGAGGGATGACTAGCACAGGGGCTTAGTGCAAAATTCTTATAGCTTCATTTAACTAAGTAACATACAAAGAAACACGGACTGAACAAACTGCATAGAACCCCACCGCACACCGCAGTCCCCGCTGACAGGGTCCTGGGGAGCCGCAGAGACCATCCAGGCAAAGGCAAGCACATTTCCCGGTGGCTGCCAGACTCTGGGGTGATCCAGGGACTCAGTGTCACACTTGAGACGTCCCTCCCCACGGACAGGGCAGGCCGCTGCACAGGTCCGTGTCCTGCTGCCACTTCACACGCTGCACAGCAACCGCTCATGAGGCACCTCCTGGAGAGCGTCACATTCCTAACTCCGTGACATTTGACACAGAAGCACTTCTCTCCCAGTTACAGGCATTTGGGTGCCTTCCCTGAGGCCGCCGCAGGTCCCACTTCTCAGTCCCCAGGACACTCCCCATTCTTCCTCCACACCCACAAGTCCCCATCCTTTGCCAAAATGCTCCCCTGGCCATCATGAAGGGGCAGCTGCCAGTCCTTCCCAGTCTCAGGCGTCTGGGGGCCGCCAGAACAATGTGAACACTTGGGCCTCAGTCCCTCAGCCCTGGGGCCCTGGGCTGAGACGCTGGAAATAGGGCAGCTCCCCCAGGCCCGAGGCTCTCCCCAGGCCCTCTGGACCCACTGCTCCGGGTCTCAGCGGTGCTGGGATCCCTTTCTTGGGTGGAGGACAGAGACCCAGACGCTGGCTCCCCCTCCTGGACCTCCCTTTTGGTCCAGGGTGAGTAAGAGAGGATCGTGAACCCCATCTTAAGCAGGGCTGCGTCTGCAGGGACCAGCTCTTCACTCTGCCCTGGGGAACAGGATTCCAGAACGCTCAGCTTCCACCTGTGCAAGTCCTGCCCGGGGGCTGCATCTTGGAGCCTCACCGCCCACACCTCGCCCGGCTCCAGCAGCAGCTCCCAGCACCCCTCCGAGGCCTGCATGGCCCACGCCGGCGTCATCTTCCGGAAGTAGACAGCATCGTGGCAGCCCACCATGGACACCACTTGCAGGTCCCCTAACCAGGCCTTGGCCTCAGTGGGGTCCACGGCCCGGGTGGTGCCCAGCTCCAACACCATGGGCTCCCCGGGGTGCAGGTCCAGGCTGAGAAATCTCTGCCACAGAAGAGGGGGCGATGGCCAGTGCAAGCAGGTAGGGAGCCCCCCGAATCTCCAGGGAAGGCCCTGGGTCCAGTCAGCATCCTCAGGACCCAGGCACAGGGGGGTCACATCCTGAGGCTCCAGCTCGGTGGGCACAAAGTGGTAGTCCAGCCCCACCTCTTCTGACTCCTCAGGGGCCGACGCCAGGCTGCCCGACCCCCACGCCGCAGACGGCCCCTGCGCAGGCTGCCCCTGGCCCTGCCCCCAGTCGGACCCCGGGGACGCCCCCTGCAGAGGTTCCGCCTCGGCGAGGTCCATCAGGTCAAAGTCCCAGTCTTCATCCTCCCAGATGTCCGACTCCAGCAAGTCCCTCAGGTCCAGAAAGGCGGTCTTGAAGCAAGCGAAGCACAGCCTCAGGTGGCTGCCGTGCTGCAGCTGGTACAGCCAGGACGCGTGCAGGCAGGACATGCCCTCCCCCGCGTGCCGCGCGCTGACCGGGGGACACATGTCGCTGCCCGCCCCCGCTCGACCGACCGCGTGGACGCAAGAGCGGACTGGCAGGCACCGTGGGGACTGCAGGGGGTCCGGCCTCGGGGGCGGGGGAGGAGGGTCAGGAGGGAGAGGCGGAGGAAGGTGTTTCTTGCAGGGGAGTCCGTCGGGAGCGGGAGGAACCGGTCCTGATTCCACGGGGACCTGCTGGGGCTGGGAAGACTGAACTTCCAGAAGTTTCTTCAGCTTGTGCAATTGCCCTGTCCTCCGGGGAGCTGCGAAGGAGAAGCTCAGGTTCAGGCCCTGGCGGCAGGTGGGAGCAGACCCCGCAGGCCGGCAACCCGCGAGGGGGCTTCAGACCCGCCCCGGGAGGCTCCGCCTCTGCGCAGCTCCGGGGGGGGGGGCCCTCCCCGCCCACCCGGGGCCCCCTGCACCCGGTGGCCCCCCGAGACCGCCCACGGGAGCTGCGCCTGGACGAGGCCCTGCTGGGCCACGTGCGTGCTGCGGCCTCCACCCGCTCGCGTCCCCCAACCCTCTCCCGCCCCGGGCAGAGGGCCTCACCAGGCGGGCGCCGGGGAAAGAAACACCCACCCCCTGCCCCGGAATATAAAGGGCCAACTTCCCATGGTGCTCTGGGCGCATCTGCATATCTCCCATGAGCCTCAGCCACCAGGACGTGGAACTGCTGAGTCATCCCCCCAGGAGCGCCCGGCCCCCCAGGGCAGGCCTGTGTCCCCCCCCCCCCCCCCCCCGACTGTCCCCCGGGTGGTCGCGCCTGAACTTGGTTCCTCTGAGCGCCGAGGAAGCCATTTGCGCCCCTCTTTCCCTCTGCAGCTTCTGAGACGCGCGGGCGAGCGTCTCCCTGTGGCCGCCGTCCCTTCCAGGGGCCCCTGGGGACCTGCCTGGTCGCGGCCCGGCCGTCTGGCCGAACGTGGGTTCCGTCTTGCCGTCTCTTGATCGAAGGTTCTTTACGGGTTTTGGAAACCCACCATCGTCAGTTAGTTACGTCCTGAGCACGTTATGGTCTGTCCATATGGTCGAATGTGTCCATCTGTTTTTTGAGGAAAAAGGGTTTTGGTCTTTGTAAAGAACATCTTCAGTTCCCCTAGACGGCGCTGTTAGTTTCTTGTAGTTTCATCATATTCTTTCACATTTGTTTGCTTTGTAATTTTTCGTTTAAAGGTAAGTTGCTTCTGTAAAAAACTATAACACGAGTATAGATAGATGGCTTTTTAAATCATTTGCCAAATTAATCAAGTCATTCAGCCTTTGCTTCCAAATTCCCCGATTAGTGCATCCAACTGCACCTGCCCGGTCCCCCCCAGGACGTCTGACAAGTGTCCCCAAGGGTACAAGTCTCTGTCTGGACTCCCGGTCAGCAGCTGGGCCCGTGCTGGGCAGTGCCTGCAGGGGAAGGCATAGCCTGCCTCTGGAATTAGATGACGGCAACGTTCCTTGGATCAGTAGTTCCCAAATTTTTGATCAACAAATGGCAAGCGATAGGATGTATTGGAGTATAGGAGGAAGCCATTTGGTGTAAAACTAATTTGGTCTAACCTTGCTTTTTCCAAAGGGGCCTGACGTGGCTGTTGAGCATGCGTTGTATATCTGCTTTAAGCATTTGCTACGTCTCAAACACAAGAACAAACGCCCTGAAGATAGAGGTGCAACTTCCTCCACACTGGCATTTCCTTAAGGATAAACATCTCTCCATAGGCTGGGAATTGATTGCTGTGCTCACCTGTGACCACCCAGCTCAAGACAGCAGACCTGCTCCCTGCTGTGTCCGTCAGTCCCTGTGCCGAGAGGGCAATCTCGTGACTATTGTAAAAGGGACGTTTCAGTCACGTGATACATTCTCTTTGACGGTGTGTAGCCACTCTGTACACCCCACTTCTTTGGAGTGCTCCAGTCCTTTGTGGAAGGACTCTCCCGGGCTATCTGGTCCTCAAATCTGGCTCATAATAAACTCACCCCACTTTTGATTTATAGATCGGTTATGAATTATTTGGACTGACATTTTGCTGCAGTTAAAATTCTCTTGGGAGTTTGAAAGTCCCAGTGTCCATGTCACAGCAAGTGGCAGACACCCTGAGGCGACCCCCAGTCAGTCTCACTCTCCCCACGATTGAAGGTGGAAACTGTGACTTGCTTCAGACCAATAGACATGGCAAGGGTGATGGATGTCACTCCCTTGACTATATTAGCATATATATGCATTCATTATTGTATCTATTATATGTAGTATACATTACATTTTATATCCATACATACCCTCATGTATTTATCTATATTTGTACACATATGTGTCATGTATATGTACTTACACACACACACGTATATATATACATATGCATACTCCAAGCAGACTCCTGCTCCCTCCCACTGGTCTTGAAGAAGGAATCAACCCTGCTGTGAACTGTCAGTGGAGGTTGGAGCTCTGGGGAACCTGGCCCTTGCCTACCGAACAGTGACTGGGACGGACCCAGTTCAGAGGGACGGTGGCTGCCTTGGGTAGTTTGGAAGAGCATGTGGAGTTGGGGGTCAGGGGAGGTTCCATGACCTGCAGGGATTTCGTGTGTCCTCTCTCTGGCTGCTCCCAGGGCTGGGACACTAATGAATAATAGTGATGCTCCTGGTGAATTCTCACTTGTCTGCCAAAACCAGCAAGCCGCCACCTCCCTCGCTTCACTTCTGGTCTCTCTACACACTTTTATCATCGCCTGTATTGCTGTGTGTAATTCACTTGTTTTTCTGTTTCCTCTCTGGGCCAAGTACCCAGAGGGTATGGCTGAGTTGGACTCGGGTCTCTGACACAGAGAAGAGACTCAGGACACAAAGTGAAATCATCAGTGGGACATTTTCCTGTTCCCCTTCTCAATGCCCAGGGTCATCAGGCCTCGGTTCCACCCTGACATCTTGGTGGCAGAGCCTGTGCCTCCACTCTCACATGCCCCCAGCTCCCGCCTGCAGCAGGTGAACAGAGCTGAGCCCGGGAGGGTCATGTCCCCACAGCAAGGATGCACAGAGCTGGCACGGGAACCGTGGCCCATCAGAGCCTCCACTGCCCAGGCCCCCTTTGCCCACCTCATGCTGAGGTTCACGTTTCAAGGGGCCTGCCCTCAGCCCCAAACCTCAGTGGCTTCTGCAGTTACTGTCATGACACATATTTATTCTAGGAGATTAGGAGAACATAGAAATCCGTAAAGAAAATTCAGTAACTCCCAATACCATCACCTTGGCTCATGGCCTCCAGGGTCCTGGTGGGGCTGGGCCACCCAGCTCTGCTCGCCTAGCTATGAGGTGAGCGTGTGTCAAGCAGGGAAGAGTGAAGGCACTTAAACTCCGGGAGAGGGCAGCCCTGATCCTCCTCCCCTTCTGGCACTTCAGATCCACAGGGATCCGTATGATCTTGTGACCCAGAGGACAAAGACTTGCTTCCTGCGGAGCTGTCACCATCCACTCATTCATGTTTCATTGCTCCATCCTCTCACCTGTTCAACAGGTGCTAAGTGGGCGCCCCTGGTTCTGAGCACTGAAGCCTTACCAAGGAGCACTAGTGGCGTGCCAGCTGCCCTCTCAGGAGGCACAATCGTCAGAGGAAGGAGGTGGAACAAAGGGCCAGCACCGTGCTGGGACAACAGGGACCAATATTTTGAGAGCAGCTGTCCCGCATCGGTCAGCCGGAGAGGCTTCTGAGAGGAGTCCCAAAGTGGCCGTCCACCGTGGGACGAGTGTGTGTTTGTTCTCTAGGAGTTATGGAGACCTGGGCTCGGCCTCCCAACATCCACACCCTTCAGAACACTCGGGTTGGGCCTCGTGAGGAAGAATCTAGAACTTCCCATAGCTTGGGGCAGCCTCAGACCTGTTTGTGTAGGTCCTCAGGTCCCTTCATCAAAAATGGAGGCCCAGGGACGAAGAGAGTATTGAGTATGGTGCACGAGACAGACAGAAGAGAATGCATTATTCATGACAGGAGGATCACAACGGGAACCTACGAGAGGTCAGAGAAAGACGTCGACGTTTACAGGAATGAGTTTAAAATTGCAAAACAGCATGTCCATTTTGGAAACTGGGAAATAGCATCCGTGCCCAAAGGTAGGTTTTCATCAGGACACGGCCAAAACCGTGGAATGTTGCACACCCACAGAAAAAAAGTTTTTGAAGAACTAATGTAAAATCATCAGATCTCTTAAGTGAAAAGAAACAAAAGCAGGTTATAAGATCAAGTACACAGTGTTGCTTTGATTTTATGAAAGAAAAAAGTCTGTGGCCATGTGTGCAAGTGCTGAGTGTGATGTACACAAGTGGGTTCCTGCCTGTGTGAACATGTGTCAGGTGTCACGTGTCTGTGCCCCACGTACATGTGTTGGGTGCCACGTGTCTGTTGGCATATAAAGAATGATGGGAGAAATACACCCAAATCAGCTGAGAGTACCTCTGGGTGGTGGTATTGGGAGTTATTGAATTTTCTTTACAGATTTCCGTATTCTCCTAATTTCCTAGAATAAATATGTGCTGTGACCAGACCTTCAGAAGCCGCTGTAAGCCCCTGGAAGTGCTTCGTGAGGAGTGGTGGGCTCTGTGCCAACCCCTCCAGGTTGGACTCTTGGGCCCAACCTTTCCCCCACCCATCTCCGTGGGCCGTTCTCAGCACCCGCCCGTCGGGCTCCATGAACTGTGACTCCTCCTGGGCAGGCGTCGGTCCGCCCTCCACACTTCCAGATCCCCACCAGGGGCGGGACAGAACACTGGGGTGAGGGCTGTCCCCATGGGGCCACAGCAGGGCTGGGACCTCCTTCCTGGGGTCTTCCACTGCCCAAAGCCCTTTGGGGGCTGACTTGAGAGCCCCTGGAATCTCCCTCAGATTCTTTTATGTCAATGCTTGTGGATGTCTGAAGTGTCCATCCAGCCCCTGCGTGGCTGCGCGTGCCCATCAGCAATACCGTTGCCACGGTTACTTCCAGGCAGCCGAGGCCCTGTGCCCAGCTACAGCAGGCATGAGAAGAGCCAGATTCAGGGTGAACTTCCCCCCAACAAGTGAGCATCCTGTCTTCCCGGCGTCCCCGGTGACCGTCTCCTTGTGCAGTGACCACCAGCCCCGCCCTAGTCGCACTCTGCCCAGGACGCATGGCCTCCCGGGTGCTGCCCTCAGCCACGACTGCCTCCTCTTCAGGGAGCACACTGGAAATGGGGCATCTCCGTGTCCATACTCCAGAACCCCCAGAACCATCCAGGCAGAAACACATTCATCTTGTGTGAGTTTCCTGTGGCTGCTGAACAAATAACACAAATCAGGGATTTAGAGCAGTGCACATTTATTCTCCACGGGTCTGGAGGTCTGAAGGCCAAAACGGGCCCCAGGCAGGTTCTTTCTGGAGTCTCCGTGGGAGGCCCTCTTGCCTTTTAGCTTCTGGAGGTGCACACATCCCTTGGCTCACAGCATCTTCTCTCCTCGCTGACCTCTGCTTCCGTCCTCACCCCTTCTCTCTGTGACTGACCCCCTGCCTCACTCTTATAAGGACCCTCTTGAGGTCATCGGCCCACCCTGAATCCAAGCTAAACCCCCATCTCAAGATCCCTAACTTAATCACACCTGCAACATGACTCTGGCCATGTAAGGTGACATATTCACAGGTTCTGGGACTAGGATCTGGACACCTTTGGGGACGTTGTC